CGTTGCATTCTTAGGGTTTATTTTCACCGGGTGTTTTAGTTTCTATTTTCGAGTGTAATATGAACACTTACTAAAATATCAAGAATTATTTCGGTGCCAACTGTATGATGATGCAAAAATATAAGCGCGATTCCAATAGCAGACAGAATTGAATTATTGTTGACTATAATTCGGAGTAATACACGAAAAGATAGAAAGTGGACAATCTGAACGACGTTAGACGAGAACGAGACTCGGGGAAACGATAGGCGCGACTGCTTAAATAAATCAGTATAACCACAGCGTGACAGCGTATAAGTATAACGACTGCACGATAGCGTATCAGTATAACTACAGCGTGTATCAATATAAAGACAGCGTATATCAGTATGACGATAGCGTGTATCAGTATAACGACAGCGTGTATCAGTATAACGACAGCGTGTATCAGTATAACGACAGCGTGTATCAGTATAACGACAGCGTGTATCAGTATAACGCAGCGTGTATCAGTATAACGCCAGCGTGTATCAGTATAACGCAGCGTGTATCAGTATAACGCAGCGTGTATCAGTATGACGCAGCGTGTAGCGGCCACGCGGCCTTACCTCTTTTCGCTTTTAGGCGTATTTAGCCTTCAGACGTACGTATATATATGTTCCATGTTCATAATTTACTGATCGTTATCTTCTGTATTGCGCGCGGGAAATACTTCCTAGTATAATGCATACGTTCGCTGTTCAACTCTCAGAATTTGCTGTAATAGCAGATGAGTTTCCAAATGTATCTCAAAATTGGGCAGTACTACTACGGAACGGTATTTTGTTTAAAAATTATTTATATTAGAATTTACTGTTAGATGTTATTTTTTAGTACAAAATACTCGAAATTCTTTGAACAAATTACGTAGTGACCTGCATTTAATAGAAAGAAATTTATTTTGAGCTTTTTTTAAAGCCTTCTAACTGACCAAAATATTGCTCATCATACGGCTTTTTCGCCAACCAAATACCTATTCCATCAAAAAATGTATTTCAACTCTCCACTGTAAAAATTATTATGTTTTGCATTTCTTTTTAATTCTTCTTGTACCAGTGTTAGTGTATCCAGTTAACAGTGTGAGATACTCAATGCAAAGTGTTCAGTTAGTGGTGCCAGTGTTAGTGTATCCAGTTAACAGTGAGATACCCAATGGAAAGTGTTCAGTGAGCGGTGCCAGTGTGAGATACTCAATGCAAAGTGTTCAGTGAGCGGTGCCAGTGTGAGATACTCAATACAAAGTGTTCAGTGAGCGGTGCCAGTGTTAGTGTATGCAGCTAAGTGTACGACAATAAGTATCGGTACCAGCAAGTCTGGAGGTCCAGCAGCCGAGCGCCTGGCACAGTGCCAGAAGCTGACACTGTCTGTCGTGCTCTGTAGCGGTCATGGCGCTCAGGGGGGCGTGAGCGCCGCTACATGCTGTCACAATTCCTTCATTCTTCTGCCGCCGACGCCGGCCACGAATTTACACTGATGAATTTTGTGGGCCTGTCCCCATACTTTGAAAAAAATGTAACTCAGTACTCACTGCAGTGAGTGACAGAGAGCGCATTTTCTCGTCGACGAAAACTTGAGGTCACGGACAGACGGACGGACGGACGGACAGACAGACAGACAGACGGACATGGCGAGCACAAATAGTGCATTTTTTCCATAAATGAGAAAATGCGCTAAAAAGGTTAAGAGATCGTAAGTTCATCAGCCAATCATTGACGGCCTTTCAAGCAAAATCCACCAATCATAGACAAGAAAATAGAGCGTAAGTACTTACGTTCACTTAGCGAATTTTAAAAGTATGGCCCCTGTAATAGGTTCCTTGAAAAGGAATCTCTAGAATTTGTTGCTTTAGCTGGAAATTATTGAATTTGTTGCACTCGAATTTAAAGTTCTAGAATTTGTTGGTATGTAGTTGGAATAGTAATGTAGTTATAGGTGGAAGTTCTGGAATTTGTTGGCATCGAATTTGTTGGCTTGAGTTGGAATTTCTGAAATTTGTTGACCTCGAAAAAAATTCTGGAATTTGTTGGCCTTTAATCGAGAGTTCTGGGATTTATTGGCCTTTTATTGGGAGTTCTGGAATCTGTTGGCCTTTCATTGGAAGTTCTGGAATTTGTTGGCCTTTTATTGGAAGTTTTTCAATTTGTTGGCCTTGAATTGGCAATTGGGAAAAATGTCATCCCCTTGAGGTTCTCAAGTTTCTATACAAAAGTTTTAATATTTGGTCATGAAAAAATGTTGATGAATTTTTACGGCATATTCTGCATGTGACGAAGTTGATCACGTTTAGAATAGTTTTTATCAGGGAAGAAGGAAGCATCTATTACTATTTACTATATTATATGAAACACCAAATGCTTTCTTTATTCAAACCAAGAACATTCTTCAATCTCGACAAGAAGCATAAATTTGGGCCCTCGTATGTAGGTTACATCTTCGAAATTCAAAATAAAAATCCGTTAAAGATGAATATTCGCTCTTATTTTGCTGCATATCAGAGCAGTGACATTTTAATTTGAATTGTGATAACATCTGCTCTGATGAGACAAGCATGGATCCCATGTAAACGGCATAGCTTACGTAATTATGTTTACATATTTCGAATGCGTTTCCCTATGTAAAAAGGAAGAATTTTACATTATTTTTGCTGCAGTATGCCAGCCTTCTGGGATCCTATTATTGCGCTGTTGTGGCGCGCAGTATTGCGCTGTTGTGGCGCGCGGTATTGCGCTGTTGTGGCGCGCGGTATTGCGCTGTTGTGGCGCGCGCTATTGCGCTGTTGTGGCGCGCGCTATTTCGCTGTTGTGGCGCGCAGTATTGCGCTGTTGTGGCGCGCGCTATTTCGCTGTTGTGGCGCGCAGTATTGCGCTGTTGTGGCGCGCGCTATTGCGCTGTTGTGGCGCGCAGTATTGCGCTTTTGTGGTGCGCGGTATTGCGCTGTTGTGGCGCGCGGTATTGCGCTGTTTGCTGTTGTGGCGCGCAGTATTGCGCTGTTGTGGCGCGCAGTATTGCCTGTGCCCCAAACTACAGGCACAAAAGTTGTCCTAGTTTGCTGAGGCCAAACTTAATATTGGCCTCCCGCAATGCGAGGGTCCTTTGCTGCCTCCTGCGCTACGCAAGGCTTTAAAGGCTTCTTTTTGATTCCCATTTGATCTTCGTTATTTATTTATAGTGTTATTTATTTGACTTTGAGTTGTTTTTCATTCGAAATCTATATTATTTGACATTGATTTGATTTATGTATGACTTTGATTTGATTTTTTTTATTTGACTTCGAGCTGCTTTCTATTTTTGACTCTCATCCTATTTTATTTATTACGCTTCTATTTGGTTTGTACTATTTTACTACTATTATATTTATTTATCTTACCGTAATTTGATTTTATGTGAATTCCATTCATCATATTCAAATGACTTTGGTTTGATTTCTATTTGAATTTATTTATTGTAAATTAGTTCCATGATATGCCCGATTTGCATTTGTACTACAGCTGTTCATTCAAATTTATGCCTCATTTTATCAAAAGAATAAGATATTTCAGTATTAAGCAGTGTATCACTTGTTAATGTAACGCTATTCAATTTTTAAATTATTTATTAGATACTTGTTTTCCTTATTCATCGCCATGCCAGCGTTATGATATGGAACCTTCGTTGAATTAAATGTGATTCAATCCTCTGATATTTGCTGTACATTTAATTAGTATTGATATTTGAATGTGCCGCACTCGTGATGAACTGTCAGTCCGCCTCTCTCGTCAGCCGCTGACCACGCTGTCTGACTCCTCTTACACGTCACTGCACAGAAATGTATACTTGGAATAAATTATACTTGGAATAATTATAATAATTATACTTTATACTATATATAAAAATGTATATACTCGGAGAATTCAGTGAGACTTTGTTCAGGGATCGATGCATTTTTAGCGCATTTTCTCATTTATGGAAAAAAGGCGCTATTGTGCTCGTCATGTCCGTCCGTCTGTCTGTCTGTCCGTCCGTCTGTCTGTCCGTCCGTCTGTCTGTCCGTCCGTCTGTCCGTTTGTCCGTGTCTGTCCGTCCGTCTGTCTGGCCGTCCGTCTGTCTGTCTGTCTGGCCGTCCGTCCGTCTTTCCGTCCGTCTGTCTGTCCGTCCGTCCGTCCGTGACTTCACGTTTTCGTCGACGAGAAAATGCGCTCTCTGTCACTCACAGCTGTGAGTACTGAGTTATATTTTTCCCTAGTGTGGACCATCCTGACATATTTTGGCCCGGAAACGGCCGTATCAGAGGCACGTCAGCTCCCTGCTTCCGCCGTGGGTATGAAAGTGTCCCTGTTTGCACAATTTGACCCGTTCTTTTTTTTGTGTGCCGGTTGCACTTCATTTTCTTACCATCTCCACTTTACGTACGAAATCTACTGGATCTCAATTCTAGATAATGATATGCTCTTGTTTTATTTATTTATTTATTTTGCTTGCGTTTGACTCTGATTTTCGTATCCCGTGCTATTTTATTGTAAAGGGCTCCACATATTCTGGTTTTCGTTCTATCGTGTCCAGCTCCTATATTATAGTAAAGGCTTTTAACATCCTGTGGTTCACATTCTATCATATCTCGTTTATATTTCTTTATAATAGTTTATAACATACTGTGGTTGGCATTCAATTGTATCCCGTTTTTATTCAAATTATACTAGACAACATATGTTCAGTCTTAAAATGCCCAGCAAATTACCGACCATGCAGGCAATAAGTCCAGCAGCTATCTCAATAAATCGTCAGTTATGGAAGAATCGGATGCCAAAGGCCGGATCCCTTGTGAATCATGTCACGAAAAGTTCAAGAATCGGCAACAGGCCATGGGCCTATTTCTTCAGCGCCGACACTTCTATTCTATTCTAAATAGATATAACAATAGTTCACGACCCCTTCCCTCACTGGCCACGTCTCCTCCCCTCGGCGGCTGGAGCTTGAGTGCCGGAACGTGTCTGGTGTCAGTGTGGGCCGGCGCGCCGCCGTGTGAGGTGGGTGTCGCTCCTTCCGTTCCTCGAGATGTCTGTTGTGTAGACCCCCGCCCCTGTTAGTGGCGCCCTCTCGAGTTCAGCGTTATCGTGCCATCGCTAATGCCCTCTTCGGTGCCTGGTTCAGCGCTAAATAGTCACTTTATTGTATAATATTTGCCACCGCCAAAGCTGCTCAATCTGTTCAGTCAGATTGATTATTTATTCCATTATTGACAATTTTTCGTTCTAGTCGTTCCAGAAAAATTCATTGGAAGTAAAGTTTAGATATCTATCCCATGCAATGTGTTGATCCATTCGATCACTAGAGACTAGTGTACGTAGTGTTCGTGATGATCTTGTATTCGTAAGAATGTGGTAACTACGGAAATCACGCAAGCTCGACTGTGCACGCTTCGCCACCCGGAACTTGCGTAAATATGTGTCGCCGAGACGGTACTGCAATTCTTGTTTGGATCCTGATGTGTAAAGCGTTTAAAATGAACTCTTCTTATTCATTTTACTAGAAGGATAGTTGTGGGATGTTAGATGAGGTGTCTTTATGCATCGTGTGCAAATGCTTGTTGTTAAAGTCCACTTGACTTCGATTGTCGCTTAATAACCTCGGCGAGAAGATGGTAGTAGCTTGTCCTCAAAGAGAGTAGTTTGTACGTAAATAAGGTAGTTTGCACTCAAAGAGTTTGTTTTACTGAGCTTCGCGTCTAGGCGCTTCAATATTAAATGTCACGTTGCGTGCAGATTCAGATCGGGAATGATAAATACTTGTGCAGTACCTATCGCCTTGTTTGCTGTAGTCGAAAATCAACTTATAGTTCAAAAGCAGAAGACAAGAATTCGACGCCCCCTAATTCTGAAGTTACCTCAAAATATATTTGCAGAACACGAATTGTATTGTGGTGTTAATGAATGAAAAAGCAGGCTTACTTATTACAATGCTGGCCCAGGCTTCTTGGGTACAGCAGCACCAGACCTGCGTTATCTGAGCTCATTCTTCCTCTCACAGCCTCACCTGTTAAAAACGTACCTAATGGATCGGATGAACGTTCGCACAAACATGATTCACTTGCAGCGGATTAAACTCTGACGAAGTTTCAATGGAGCTGCCCAACTACTACGTCACTGCCTTCGTTGTGATGAGCGGTCATTACAGTCTTCCCTGACGCCTCAAGTGGTAACTTTTGTGGTGCTCACACGGCACTTTGGCCGTGTATTACATACCGTGTGCCGTGTGCCGCGGTTTGTGTATAAGCTGCGCACCATGTCTTACACACCTTACCTTATGATGAGTAAGGACTTCGTAGTCAAAGGATCAAAGTCCCAAGACGTTCTGATGTTCACCAACTGAATCATGTACAGGGACGCAGATTAATTCGTGCTTTCCATATTTTTTCGTACTTTATTCATAAAAAAACAGTGGAAAATATCGTCTCGCACTGTTTTAATGTATAACACGATTTACACCGTAAATCGTGTACCGCGTATGTGCCGCATATCTGGTATCCCGCACCGTATGCAACGAACTTACCGTGAGCCGTATATCGTGCACCGTGTACCGTGTCTTGCGTACCGTAAATCGTGTACCGCGTGCATTGTGCTGCACATCTCGTATCCCGCACCGTATGCAACGAACTTACCGTGAGCCGTGTATCGTGCCCCGTGTACCGTGTCTTGCGCACCGTAAATCGTGTACCGCGTACCTTGTGTCGCACATCTGGTATCCCGCACCGTATGCAACGAACTTACCGTGAGCCGTATATCGTGCACCGTGTACCGTGTCTTGCGTACCGTTAATCGTGTACCGCGTACCTTGTGCCGCACATCTCGTATCCCGCATCGTATGCAACGAACTAACCGTGCACCGTGTACCGTGTGCCGCGCGCCACATTTTTCTCGCTGAAAGGAACTAAATCAGGTCCTGAGATGCCCCCTGAAGAGCGGCAGCGAGGTTCCCTTAACTGCTCAAGTGGTGACGCTCGGCTTTACTGTTGTTTGTTCTTTCTTATAACGCATTCGTACGCTTCTCTTATTTGAAACATATTTTAAAATCACTTTTCAGTGCTTGATTAGCATTCAATGAGTGAAGGTCGGCTGCCGGTCATTCACTTATAATCTCTGCAGATTGAAGAACGTGAATGTTATTAGCTTCATTTTTGCTCAGTTCACGACGTATTTTCTCTGTAATTTCATAATCTTCATCTCAAAATCGAATAATTTCACTTCTTTTTTGATATAATTTGCCGGTATATTAATTTTTATATAATTTCATGGCTAAAGTAGAAGATAATCTATACTATGTTTTGCTGAGATTAATCGAAAATAATTCTGCACAAAATTTGGATAATTATTGAGGCTTCGACGTTATTGTTTCTCAATTTCAGAAGTCTGACAGCTCCGTAATACAAAAGGTAAGCTTTCTTAAGCTGTCATCGTGCATTTCTAGCGGAACGTAATTCCGGCTAACAACTGCAACACTGCGCAATAATTCCCTTACCAAAATACAGATTTTCTGCTGGTCAACAATTTGCCTTAGTTTCATGCTGATTTAGTGAGTGGTGAATGCTATTCGAAGTCGTCGGTGGGTGTAGAGGAAGCATTCAGTTGGTTCGATTATATTTGATTATGGTGAGTGTTGAGAGAAAGCCAATAGCTTGTAACACAGCTTGTTAAGTCAGAGCTCAGTGCCTATAGTTTATGATACGGTGTCAGAGCTGACTGTTAACAGTTAACAGCTGACCGTTAACGATCTGAATCTGGAACAGTACTAGCTGAGAGCTGGAACAGTACTAGCTGAGAGCTGACTGTTAACAGTTAACCGTTAACGAGCTGAGAGCTGCAACAGCAATAGCTGAGAGCTGACTGTTAACAGTTAACAGCTGACCGTTAACGAGCTGAGAGCTGGAACAGTACTAGTTAAGCTATCATAGTAACCGTGTTCTCGCAGCTGCACGTTGCCCGGAGGTGGCTTTTAAAGATGAATTATGAAGGACGGGAGGCGCTGCTGCCAGTGTAGCCGTCGGCGCGCGGCTGGCTTTAAAGGCAGCCCTCTTCAATGCTGTGCATTATATATTCTTTATAGTCAATGCTGTGCATAATGTGATATTCTGTACAGTCAATGCTGTGCATAATATGATATTCTGTACAGTCTAAATTATTAACTCTACACTCCTAGAAATGAGTGATATGAGTGTCCCAATAACAATCAATTTTTTGCCTTTGAATGGACCATTCTGACCCAATTTGGCCTTGCAATCTGACGTAGCCGTACTAATTGCAGAAAGTCACTATTCCGACACTTACCCATTCATTATTTTAAGTGTAATATTGCATGCTTTTGAAAGCTCATTATTTACTCGTGTAATACAGATTGTAATGACCTCATCTGGTCAATGCCGGAACTTCGATTTTTGATTATCGATTATCGGAAAATGGCAAAGTTTGCTAGGCTTAATGGATTTTCAATGCAGCGTCGGCCTCTTGGATGACTTAACTTGGTTCTCTTAAGATCTTGGGGCCATACTTTCAAAACTCGCAAAGTGAACGTAAGTACTTACGCTCTATTTTCTTCTCAACGATTGGTGGATTTTGCGTGAAAGGCCGTCAATGATTGGCTGATGAACTTACGATCTCCTAACTTTTTTGAAAGTATAGGCGCATTGGTGTTTCCTGGGAGTTTTGTACGGTATTGAGTCTACTGTGCATCGTAAATAATTGTAATATTTTATATTCGTGACTCAGGGTTCTTTCTTGTAAATTTTTACTATTACTTTACACATTGTACGTGAGTTATTCCTTGATGATGTCTCCACAAAATGTCAGGTTATGGAAAAATATTGGTTATTTATTTTCAGTGGTATCCTCTTGTTTTCTAAGTATTATTTAGTGGTAATGTTGATACTAACCTCAGTTCTAATACCGCTTTCTCTTCTACAGGTATTCGTATAGCTCATTAGTTAGAAGCCTTGTAGCTTCTCGTGTTTGTAGCTCTACGTAATTCCTTTGCACTGATCTTGAGAAGAAATATTGAGTGAATCAGTGAAGTGAATTTCCGCCTTGAGTTTGTGACGAACTTTCATTTAAAAAACATCTTTTTAGTGTCCCAAATCACGTGGCTTGTTTGTGAGCAACTCTAGGACGTTCGTCAAATAAAAGTTTGACGAATCCACCAGGGCCGCATTTTTTCAGCGACATTTCGGAGAGAAAGACGCGTTTTCTTCGCCAATTCCTACAGGATTTTCTTCGCTTACTACTGACAAGAGCCATACATCCATGATGGCGTTCGCGGGACTCAAGAAACAGATCAACAAGGCTAATCAGGTGAGAACTGACATAAATCTTTACCATGACCCATTCAGAGAAATAAGTGAGTAAATAGCGATGCACTTTTTGCCTTGTATGGGTTGACCCAGTTTGACCCGACAAAAGGTCGTATCAGTGCTACGTGCAGAACGTGTCACTATTACGACAATATTGCTCCTTCATTTTTCTGAGAATTGGGACTCTATATATATATATATATAAATGATCAATTTTTTCATGTCGTGAAGTTTGTTTATGATATCCACTTTAGTTAACGGGGCTGAAAGTGTTCACTATTGTGAGTGAGTGACGTGTACTTATCCTAATATATAGTCTGTTCCCATTTTACGTGTTAATTAATAATTAAATGGATTAGTGAGGAATGCTGAGTATTTTAACCAGTGAGACTATACGTAGAGTAAAACGACTAATGATACCACACGATAGGAAATAGGCAATGCGACAACACTATGTAATATTTATATTTATTATGAGACAACACTATATAATATGTGTAATGGAAACATGAAATATGGCTAATTATATTATAAGGCTAATTATAGACACCGCTATGTATAGCTGATGCAAAACTCTCCATATGTCTGCAAAGCTCTCGAACAATACTCCGTTCCACATCGTAACGCTGACATTTATGACGATGAACAAGGAAAACAAGTATCTAATAAACCGTTTAAAAATTGAATACTGTTACATCAACAAGTGGTACTCTGTTTAATACTCGAACATTTTATTCTTTTGAAAAATGAGGCAAAAATTCGAATGAACAGCTGAAGTACAAATGCAAAGCGGGTATATCATGGAACTAATCAGAAGTACTGATTTGTGTGGTTAACGTCGTAACAGCTTAACGCGAATAGCAGCTTGCTGCTGCTAATTATACAGAACAAAATAAAAAACATATTAACCAATTCCATATTGTTTGGGCTACAGAGAAGTAACGCATAACCCAAAGTTTTGTAATAAATCCTGCAATGAGATATACGCAAGAGGCTTATCATCCAAACGACCCGGATGTGCAACAAGTTTGACCTCCTCGTTAGAATTCTCTGGAGGAATTTTGTTCTATAACTTCCGGGCTGCGCTTGTAAGAACCATCATGAGAAGGTGGCAGGCTGCTCCCTCTCCCCCAGTGCCGCCGTGATCGCAAGCACTTCATTACACTGTCGCGGGGGGGGGGGCAGACCTGAAGCATCCTGTGCTGTGACCGTATTGTCATAACTCACCTAAGTACGCGTAGCGGCCTAAGTGCGCGTAGCGGCCTACGTACGCGTAGCGGCCTAAGTACACGTAGCGGCCGATATACCGACAATGATTGGTGAATTGGCCTTTAAAAAGCCATCTGTAATTAACAGATGGGGCTACGAACTGTTTTCGATAGCACGGCCGAAAGTCATATGTAATCTAAGTATAGTCGTGGATACTCTGTACGTACTAAGTATATACTTGATCTCATGACATGACATCAAGCTTGATGTTTCGTAAGATGGCGCGTGATGGGAGTAACCATTTGATGATGCGTGGTCATTCGATGGTACGATATAACTGATGTAGCGGCTCTTGATGGTGTGAGATCATAAACTTGATGGTGTTTGATAAAAGATTGTTCGTGTTTTTGAAGGTGTGCGATAGTCATAATGAAACATAACATAACATATATAGTGATCTCGGCGCTGTAGTGTATATAGGCCTGATGTGGCCTGTCGCCACATCAGGCCAATAACATGATAACATGAATGCCATTAAAAAAAATTCTACAATCCATAGATATATTTATATATATATAACAAACTTAACAGCACCATTTAACAAATCTACGGTCAATCTGAGTCAAGTTCCGCTAGCAGATTCTCGAATTTCGCAATTCTACGCTACTTGTTGATCGTATTACATTCTTATCCCGTTATTGCGAAGGATTTATCAGTTATACATTTAGTTCATTATTTGAATAATAAATTCGTAGATAATTAATCTAGATTAATAGAGCTTACGTTAATAATATAAATGTGATATTATTGTTTTTTCTGGCGATAGCAAACGTTCGAATGACTCGTAAACAACTCTACGGAGTTACTCTGAGCTTGACTCCAGAAAATTTCTAGTGTTACGAGAATAGAGCGCACCAGAATCTCTGATTGTGTAGGCGTTGGCCACCGTGTCTTGGTATCGCTATTGTCTGCCTCAAGTTGTTTCTTGAAGATAGCATTCGGAAAATATGACTTGTGATCAGTTGATATTGTGAGCAGGCAGGGAATATGAATTATGTAGTCAAATATAATAAGGAAAAGACTGAATTGTGAGGACTGAGCGGCATGGTAGAAGTTGCAAGAAACGAGGGTAAAACGTGTGGTACGGTCGAGGGGTAAGTGAGGGGAAGTACGACCAAGGGTAAGATAGGGTAGTTACGGCCGAGGGGTAAGAGGGGAGTTTGAGGTACGGCCGTGGGGTAAGAGAGGGGAGGTACGGTCGAGGGGTAAGTGAGGGGAGGTACGGCCGAGGGGTAAGAGAGGGGAGGTACGGCCGAGGGGTAAGAGAGGGGAGGTACGGTCGAGGGGTAAGAGAGGGGAGGTACGGTCGAGGGGTAAGAGAAGGGAGGTACGGTCGAGGGTAAGAGATTGGAGGTACGGCCGAGGGGAAGAGAGGGGAAGTACGGCCGTGGGGTAAGAGGGGTGGTACGGTCGAGGAGTAAGAGAGGGGAGGTACGGCCGAGGGTAAGAGAGGGGAGGTACGGCCGAGGGTAAGAGAGGGGAGGTATGGTCGAGGGGTTAGAGAGGGGAGGTACGGTCGAGGGGTAAGAGAGGGAAGGTACGGTCGAGGGGTAAGAGAGGGAGGTACGGTCGAAGGGTAAGAGAGGGAAGGTACGGTCGAGGGGTAAGAGAGGGAGGTACGGCCGAGGGGAAGAGAGGGGAAGTACGGCCGTGGGGTAAGAGGGGAGGTACGGTCGAGGAGTAAGAGAGGGGAGGTACGGCCGAGGGGTAAGAGAGGGGAGGTACGGTCGAGGGGTAAGAGAGAGGAGGTACGGCCGAGGAGTAAGAGAGGGGAGGTACGGCCGAGGGTAAGAGAGGGGAGGTACGGCCGAGTTAAGAGAGGGGAGGTACGGTCGAGGGTAAGAGAGGGGAGGTACGGTCGAGGGTTAAGAGAGGGGAGGTACGGCTGAGGGTAAGAGAGGGAGGTACGGTCGAGGGGTAAGAGGGGAGGTACGGCCGAGGGTAAGAGAGGGGAGGTACGGCCGAGGGGTAAGAGAGGGGAGGTACGGCCGAGGGTAAGAGAGGGAAGCCGATGCTAGGCGTCTGGTCGCGGCGATCAATATGAGCTCCAGTTTGCCGGTCACCATCGCCGGCATCACCACCACGTTGCAAGCAATGCTATAATTAAACTTTTCATCCAATATTCACGATTGTTCTCAACTAATGCGAGCTACGCCGTTCGATTCCAACTTTTCTGGTTAAAACTATTTTTTTTATATTTTATTTTTAATAGTAGAAGTTAATCGAATTATTGGAAACTAATTTTTCATTTACTGTTAAATTACTGCCAGAATTACTATTAAAACTATTACATTACACGTAGCAGTACCACAGCGCTGTAAGTACACGTATCGGCAGATTTTTTATTGAAGGCTCAGCCTGAAAGGCCATGAGTCATTGGCTGACAGAATTACCAACACGTTACCTTTTTTGATGGCACCGCCTTTGATTAGGATTAAGTAAGGATTATGTTTACTCATCGATTCTTATTTTAACTTGGAAGTGAAGCGTCGAATCGCCAGCTTCTAAACGAAATCAAGAGCGTCTGAGAGCTCATTTTGCATTCATTCCTTAATAATTTTTCCACCTTCAACCTTGTTTCAGTTTTTTTGAGCTATTGTACGTTCACAAATTTTTCACATTGAAACAATAGCGATGTTCGCCAATTTTCCCGGTTTGTATTTTTCGATGCCATTGTCTTTTTTATATATTTGGCTGTTTAATCAAAAGTTTTGAGTTTAATTGTCCTCTAATACTTTATTATTCAACAAGTATATTATACATAGATTATTCTATGTTTTTTATTTAATTTTTTAAAAAAATTTTCCCAAGCTTGAAACAAAATTTCTCCGGAATATTTGCACAGCGCCTTGCTTGGCTATTCGGAATTTTATGGTTTCAGATAATTATGCAAGTTCATCCTTTACATTCCATCCTATTCATTGATGTTAGAGCTTATAATAATATTAAATTACTTTTTTTGTGCCCAGATAAGAATATATTTCACCTTCAGTCTGCATGGATCAGCTATCTAGTTTGTGCATATATTTTTAAATATATATTTTTTAAAGCAATAAGTTTATATATGCAGCCAGCTTGAGCCGAGATAAGTCCTTTACAAGCTGCCAACTACGTGGTCTTCAAGTAACTTGATCTAACTTTTAACTTAACCGATTGGACCAAGTTTAAAGTTGTCACTATTTACCTGACAAACCTCTAGTTAAATCAATTTTATTTTGCATCCACTTGCTTAGCCTTCGTGAAGTGACCTGAATCGTAATCATCTGCTATTTTTGGGGTAAATATTAGTCGATTCTTTATGTCCACTCATAGAAATATACGTCAGAATTTGTCTTAAAATTGATGCAATTTTCGGTCTTGTGTGGGGCATCCTGACCCAGTTTTGCTTGGTAAAAAGGGTAATATTAGTGCTACCTGCAGAATGTGTGTGAACAACGAACTATATTCAATTACCCATTCATTCGTCTGAGTGCACTGACTGGTATCTAAGATCTAGTGTTATCATGTTATGTTATCTCATTTTTATTTCTGTTATCTTCGATTTTAGTTCTAATGTCCTCAAGTTTAGGTGAATTGTTTTAATGTGAATTTTAGGCTACTAATTGTTTGTACTTGTGTTCTAAGTTTTGAACTGACGATGGAGCTGGACTCCGAAACGTTTTCGCTTATAAGAAATGGTGAACTTTTTGACTATTTTCTTTACTTTTAAATTCCTGGTAGATCTAGTAGATT